GGAAGAGGCTTTCTTTGTGGCTTGGAGGTCACCTTCCTGCAAGGTTTAATCCTCCGCTCCTTTCGCCAGCAGACTACAGGCCCGCGGCAGCCTCTGGGCCGTGCTGCCGGCCACTCCATCCCACTCAGGACTCCATCCCACTTCGACCAGGTGGATGGAAATGATGCAATGGCCGGTGCATCCTATTTGCTCGGCAAGTTTGAGTAAGAAACCGCAGAAAAACCAAGCGCTGTCAGTTCTCTCCCCACACACCTGGTCTCCAAATTCAAAATTCAAAGCATAGGCAGACTGAGCAGCAGAGCAGTCGGCCTGGTCCACACCAGCCCCCAGCCAGCTCTGCCTCGGAAGGCTCTGCTGTCTCGAAACACTTTCTTTCTTTTCAATCAACCAAGGTTCAGAAACCCACGGGTCTCTCCTTGGGCCACACAGCAAAAAAAGGGCAGCGGACCTCAGAGGTCAGGCCCTGTGCCTCTGCGTCTTGCTGGGTCCGCTGTGAAATCTGGGTTTGGTGAAGGGTGAAAAAATGAATGACAGGGTAGTGCGGTCATTCCCTTGCAGCCAGTCCTCCCTGGGGCTCAGCAGCAGAGAGACTATAGAGCAGGAGCTCCAAAGCCAAGGCTCCTTGGGGGACAAGAGCGAGCTGACATTCAGATGAGCCAGGATGAGCACCCCCCAACCTTCCGGGGGGTCTATGATTCAGGTGGTTCGGGGTCTCTTCCTCACCGGGCAGGGACTGCACGTGAACAGGACACAGCCTCTGGGCAGCAGCGAACCCACCAGCAAAAGGGTGCAATATGCCGTGTCGAGCATGGGCAGGGACAGTGGGGCTCCAGAGCACAGCTGGGGGCAGCAAAAGTCCCTGGTCCCTCTGAAGGGAGGTGGCAGTGCCTGGGAAGGGGAGGGTGGCCCTCGAGGCAGCCAAGTGTGCATGAGCCCTGGGTATAAGCCCGAGTGGTCGGCAATGGGGTGCGGCAGGTGGGGAAGGCTAAGGAGCCCTGGGAAGTGCCACAACCACACACTGTTGGTCCCTCTGTCCTAGAGCCTCCGAGATGCACCAGCCCACCCCTGGCTCGCGTGTAGGTGTTCCTGGCCCACTGCCCAGCCCTGCAGGGGACGTGGAATTCACAGATGAAAACAGAGCACCGGACTCCCCGGAAAGCTTTTCAGAGTCCTTTGCCCAGGAGAGGGTCCCCTTACAAAGGGGCTGGACCTCAGCCACAAGTCCAGGGAGAGCTGAAGCCGACTTCATCCACTTAACTCAATTTGCGGGGCCCAGAAGGCCGCTAACGAGCAGTCTGTGCCCTCAGAGTCATCGATCCCACTTTCCAAATCAAGTTACCAAATGGGTCTTAAAACGGCTTCAAAGGGCCGGGCCGCCTGCGAGCGAGGGGCACCCAGGCGGCCAGATGGTCCCGTCCTCCCGCCCCGCACCATGGGCCGCCGGGGCAGGGCTGGCCGCCTCTGTCTCCATGTGGGGCCCTCCTGCCCCCAAATGCCGGATGCCCCAGAACGGAACTTGGGTCACCATTTTAAAAAATGCAAAACCCCGGCACAGCTGTGGCAGAAAAACCAGAGTCAGGGTGGCAATTGCATGCCCGCCCGGCCCACAGAGCCCTCCCGACACCATCTGATAAGCTGGACCAGTGAGAGTGAGCAGCAGGCTGCGCGGCTGCAGGGCCCAGGCTGCAGGATGTCGAGGAGGAAAGCGGAGACTCTGCTCACCAGCACCACGGACCCGCCAGCAACACGGGTCTGAGTCCGGCGCCACCGGGCCCGACGCCTCCAACTCACTGCTGATGCCAGTCGCTCGGACTTGGTGTGGTCTCGGGCATGCCACACGCACACGCTGGCCTCAGTTTCGCTACCTGCACATTGGGCAATCTTGTCCCCAAAGGGGGCCGTTCTTGGGTTGAAGAGGGCGCTTGCGGGACAGGCGGCGGTGGGGTCATAAAGAGAACGGCGTGTAAAGCCTCCCTGCAGTCATGGGCAGACGGACCGGAGGGACTTGCTAGCTCAACCCCGTTAAGCAAGTTGTGCGTATTCCCGAGCATACAACCACACCCCTGGACAGACGAGGCCCCAGGAGCGAAGACGTCCCATCCAGGCGCATGCTGTGGGTCTGTGGGGTCCACATGCAGGGAGTTAGCATTCTGGACACAGAATCACACTCCAAGGGCAACCCAAAGTCAGTGGGGTGGGGGCCTGGGTGGGGGGAGGGAGGGAGCCCTGGTGTCAGTGAGCCCTGAACAGAGGTTGTGCGGGCCGTGTGCTCCAGGGCTGGTTCAGAAAGGCAAAGGCTCAAGGAAAGGCGGGGGCAAGGGGAAGGTCCCCAAGAATAAGAGGGTTCGTGGGTCTCCAAGTGGGAGATGGCCCCACTTCATGCTCACGTCCAGAGCTGGGCTGGTGCTGCCTCGGGCTTGGGGATGCAAGGGGGCACTTCCGGGCAGCTGGGGGCCGGGAACAGGAGCTGCGGACTGGACAGTGAGCCAGATGGAAGGCAGGAAGCAAAGAGGGACATGCATGACCCCCCTCAGCCAGATCAGAAGACCATAATTTTTTAAATATCTAATGATCAAGAGTATATCAGGATGTTCCCATAAATATTATACTACCAAAATCATAATGCCAATAAATGACTTTCAAAATTTCAGCGAAGATTTACTATAGACCAGATACTATTACGTTGACTTTTGGACGTCAACAGCTGAACAATGGAATTTCAGAGGGTTCAAGTTAATATTTTAAGCGCTTTACATGCACCAGGTCACTTAACCCTGACAGCACCCTTGTGAAGGATGGTGGGCAAAATAATGTCCCCCCGCCAAAATAAAGATGTCCACATCCTAATTCTGTAGCAGTGTCGTCTAAAAGGGGAGGCTCCATGTTCCCTGTGGCACCCAAAGAAGGGAGGAGCTGAGCGGTGAGAAGCTAACAGGGAAAAGAGCTGCAGGAGGCGGTGGGGCAGAAGCGCGTGTGCAGAAGAAGTCGTGTTTGCGTCTCGGCCTGGCCTTGCACAGGGACTTGGGGGACGTGGAAGGAGATATTTGGGGGAGATGTGTTTGAGAGGCCCATCTTGACTCGTATTTTGATTTTGCTCTCTTCATTCCAGACTTGCCCGGCCCCTTCTGCCCCATCCCCATGGGTCCCCACCAGAAAGCACCTTAGGTTGAGCTTTCGGGCCTCAGTGTCCCTGCTTTGGGTCAACCCTGTTTGGCTGAGCACTCGTATTTTATTTGGAAACTGTTTTTTATTCTTCTCTCTTCACTTGTATTTTATTTGGAAACTGTTTTTCTTTCTTCTCTCTGTTGCACACTGATTCTGTTAAAGTCCTTTTCTATGGGAGGTCTTAAGCACTAAGAGTATGTTTTGTCTTCATGAGCTGGGGGCAGACCCATTTAGGGCATGCGAGGTTTGAGGTCCTGGGGTCCCCTTCAGTGTGTCCAGTAACAATTCCAGGGAACCAGGCGCACGCTACCTCCTATGACAAGGGGAACTTTGCAGATGTCATTTAGATTAAGGACCTGGAGGTGGGGCTTGCTCTGGATTGCCAGTGGGCCTAATCTAATCACAGGAGTCCTTCAAATCAGAGGGTCTCTCCCACCACACCCTCCCCTCCCGCAGGGGTTAGAGATGAGAAGGCGGGGGGAGAAAATATTGGAATCATGTAGGGACTCAACCCGTCCCAGCTGGATCTGGCCATGGAGGGAGGAGGCTCTGGAAACTGGACACAGCTATCCACGGACAGCCAGCAAGGAGCGGGAACCTCGGTCCTGCTGCTACCAGGAAGGGGACTTGCCAGCGCCCAGAATGAGCACGGAAACAGATCCTCTCCCTAGCATGGCCAAAAAGAGCAGAGCTGCAGGTGCCCTGCTCAGCCCAGGGAGGCCGTGTCGGGCATCTGACCCACAGAGCACGCCGCCGTCCTATAAAGAGCTTCACAATGTGTGTTGGGTGAGCGCTAAGCTGTGGTCATGTGTTCGGGGCAGCCTCGGGAAGTGAATATGCTGTGTCGTGAAAGGCATTCGCAGTCACACTTAGGGTTCAGCCGAGAGTCCAAGTGTCAGTGCCCAGCCCCACAGGCAACAAGGCGCAAAGCAGGGCCCCGACAGCAGCAGGGGCCTCTGGCCTGCTCAGCCTCGGGGGGTGAGATCCAAATCCCCTTCCCAGATGGCAACACGGAGCTTGCCTTTTGCACTTACTGTACCTGGAGTTTAACATCTTAAAGACACGGTTATTATTTTAAATACCTAAAACTGATTCTTAAAAAGAATTATTAAAAAAAAAAAAACTGTTATAATTACACCGTATCTCAGGAAACTAAGAGAAGAGTCCTGCCCTTCCCCCTCCTGGGGAGACCAGACGTGGCACTTCCACCCTGAGTAATGTAATTAAAGTACTGAAATGCTTTCACCGTGGTGGAAGTGGCTGATGAAGAGCTGCTTTCCCCAGGGGACGACGACTGTCCCACTCCCTGGGTCTGTCTCCAAGGTCATGTTCCCCTTGACCTTCACAAATGCAAGATTTGCACAGCAGGCGGAACTCCAACCTGTTTGCTCAGGCCTAGATATTTTGAATATCACTCCCAAGAGGGAAATGCAAGCTGTGATGCCACCAGTTAGGAGCTGCTGGACTTAACCACTAGAAAGGAAAAGGACAATATAAGCGAGGAATGCACAGACCTACACTTTGACCTTGAGCCAGCCTGTACTGTCTCCAGCAGCATGCGGCCTTGGGCAAGTTCTTTCCCTTCTCCAGATCTGTGTCCTTCGAGGTAAAGTGCAAACCTCTGGAGGACTGACCACCTGCTCTATACCTCTAGGAAGAGGCCCCCTAGACTCTGGCCCCGCTTAGCAGGACTCCACCATGACAGGTGTGCACTGCGGGCACCAGCACCGGGCACCTTGGGACACGGCTCTGAGGAGCGTGCTCAGCGCTAGCCCCCAAATGCCGCCTTCCAGCCACAGGGCCCCCCTGCCGCCCTCAGCCTTACGCTGTCTCACCAGTTTGTGAAGATGTGTGCTGTTCGCTGGAGCAACTTCCCTTCCCAGATCAGGGTGTAGGCGAGGGGCAGCAGCACCGGTGAACACCCTGGCATCATGGACTCTTAATACCTGTTGGTTAAAGAGAAGGCAGGAGGGAAGGGTCACTGAGCTGCCAAAACACACCAGCGCTTTGCTCCTCCATCACCAGGAAGCCTGGGTAGACAGGACAATGACGCAAGAAGATAGCACAGCAAACCTGACCTCACAGACCAAAAAAAAAAAAAACAGAAAAGAGAGGCGGGTTTGGCAACAGCAGGCAGCCCCTAGTCACTCAACCCCAGGCAGTCTCAGCTGCTCACCCACAAAATGGGCCTCATGCCTGCCCTGTCTACCTCTCTGTGGCAGGACCATGCAAGGAAGCTGTTTGAGGTGATATGTTGCATCTAGAAGGTGCATTCCATATATCTTCCAGGCAGAGATACCAGGATGTCCTACAAAAGTCCTACAAATGCCCAATGGCCAGTATATAAAGCTAGACTGGGATTTTCTTTCATTTCTAAGGAAGCTCAACCCATTCCCAGCTTGGCAGCTTTGAATGCAAACGGCTCTTACTTTTTTCTTTAAACATTTGGGGAAAAAAAGTCAGAACCCCAAAGGAATCTTCCATTTAACCTCTCAGGAATTGGGATTCCAGGGAGCTTTCAAATAGATGTGTTTTTGGAGGCCATGGATACAGCCATGAGTAAGGTCCTTCGTTCACAACCGGGCCCCTCAGAACCATGAAAGTTACTCATTTTCACCCTGAACACTGGAAAGGAGTCCGCATGTCCAAGAAGAAATAGCAGGTGATTGGGCTCCTCCGTCCAAGGATGGAACTCAGAGGCCTGTAGCCACAGGCAGCCACAGACTTGCCTGGAAAGTGCTGAGATTCTGCACTTTGCTCACAACTCTCATTCCAGCTGAGCAGGCCAGGGAGGCTGATGGAAGGGAGAATGAGAGCCCCAGACCCCACATCCACCCCTAAGCAAAGACATGTCACACCCTAAACACCCCAAAGGGGTTCCTTGAGGAGGTTACTTTGGTGTTTGGAGGCTTCCGCCTGGCGTGGAAGAGACCTGTCCCGGGAGAACCAGGACGAGGCCCGAGAGGAGAAGCAGCAGGACCCAGCTCTCCTGCGCTGGCCCTGGGCAGGCTCTGGGCTGGATGGAGCATATAAAAGGTCATGACCTGGGTGACAGAGCTATCTGGGTCCCAAATCCGGCTGTCGCTCTCTCAGTGAGTGACACTAGAAGGACCCCTTCCCTCTGGAGCTTCAGGTCCATGCTATGGGCACAAGGACCTTGTCCCATGCTCAGGACCATGATGTCCGCGGCACAGCTACGCGCTCGGGATGTGGTAGCTCCTTGCTCTGCTATCTCAGGCACTTGCCAAGGCCGAGAGCTGCCCGCAAGCAACTGGGCTGAGCCGGACAGCAAAGACCATCTCAGGACTGCCGCCTGCAAGCCTCTGCGACCCCACGTGAAATGGGGCAGGGGCTGGACTCCTGGCCAGCACATCCTTTCCTGGCAAGACTCCCCAGGGGGCACGGCTGACCCCATGGGGTGACCCTCAGGCGCCTCCTTTATGGACGGGGTCCAACTAAAGACAAGCAGGGATCCAAAAAGAAAGGGCAGTTCTGGGGGGCAGGTGGTCTGCAGAGGGAAGAGCTGTGCCAGGTCACAAAGAAGACTGTGATCCCAGGTAGGCCGGGGAGAAAACGCTACTGAGGCTGCCTTCAGGGGGGCTCCCTCGACAATGCCCAGGGCCCCTCACCTGGAGGCAGCCTCGCCCCACATACTGCCTAGTGGTGCTGACTGCCTTCCCTGGCCCCCAAGGGTAGCTCCAGGGCACGGAGACCTGGCCAGTGCCCAACGCCAGCAGGAGGCAAGTCATGTTGAGCCCGGCCAGCCTCGAGACAGCCATAGGAAGCCAGGGCCACACCCAGCACAGCCTTCCTCCTTTCTGAGAAAGACCAGCAAAGCAAAACAAAGGCAGGGGCTGCCAGGGTGGGGAGCTCCTCACTGCAGAGGAAGGTTCTGGCGGGGGCTCAGTTGGACTTCAGCCTTCTCAGAGAAACAATGTCTGCCCAGAGCTCACCCCAGATCGCTGGGGAACTCCAGCCTCCTCCGCCTAATCTTCTGCCCTACTGACACCTTTCAGAATCAGTCGGCACCCCATGAGTCACCCCAGGCCTTGTCAAGCCCCCCATAACCAAAATCGTCCTAGAAGGCAAGGCGGTGGGGGTGGTGCCTTGTGCTGAGGTCACTTCGCAGACCACAAGCCTTTGGTGGAGGTTCACAATGACCCCGAGGGGCAGGCACATCACATCTCCCCATTTGACTATCCCCCCATTTGTCAGGTAGAAACCCGAGGTTCAGCAAGGTTAAGTGGCCGCCTCCAGTGCTGCACCCAGTCACACCCTGTGCCCCCGGCGGCCCCTGGCCTTCCCCGGTCTGTGCAGACTCCTGAGTTTAAATGTGACCCTGACATTCTCCAACTGCATGATCTCGGGCCCGGGCTCACTTCCTCCTCGACACAGAAGGCCACTGCCCACTCGCTCTGGTGGCCGGCCCAGGGAGGATGGACTTCAACACCCACCCCGGGGCCTGGTGCGGCAGATACCAGAAATGGCAGTGCCTGGTGGGCGTGTAAGCAGATGAGGCAGACAGACACTTGGGCAGACAGGCAGACTCACCAACGTGGCCTCTCTCAAAAGCCAATGAATTAACCTTCAGAAACAAATAGCCAGAAACACCTTAGACACTCACTGCATGGGGGAGCAGCCAGCACAGAGGGGAAGCCATTTTCTTCCTTCCCAAGGGAGGAGCAGCTTAAAAGGAAGAGCAAAGGCAGGAGGGCCTGGCTGGATACCGCAGCATCCAGGGGCAGCTATGGGACAAAGCTATTTTCACCCCAACCCCATCTGGCCCAGGGAGAACACATACGCAGTAGCCGGTTGGCATCAACAGTGCCCCAACACTAGGTTCTTGGCAAACCATTGACAAGTAAACCTCAGCCCCGACCTCAAGGGATATCTACACCCCAAGAACAAAATCTTAATCCTGCTGGAAAGGGACTAAGGGAAGTTCAAGGGAAGACTGCAGAGGTGAAGGAAGCTACACCAGAGGCAGTCGGGACATCTCCAGCCCAGATGGCGAGAGAAATGCCCACTGACTTTACTGGCCACAGGCTACTGGGGGGCCTCTGAGCGAAGGCGGCCAGCACTCCCGTTGCCCTTAGAAGGCTCGTTCCTGGGAGCGCTCAGCCAACCCCCCTCCACCCGGAGCCCAGGCCTTCCTGGGGAGGAAGGGGCACAGAGTGAAGGGCTCTAAGGGCCTGATCGCTCGGGGTGCCCCCGTACAACCACCAGAATGGGCCGTCTGCTTCACGGCCCTTTGCCAAGTAGATGGAAAGAGTTGTGAAACCACAGATCTCACACTCTACACTGTGCACGCCCTGTGGGACAAGCCCTCTCAAGTCCCCCTTTCTCACCCCTCATCCCCTGCTCGTCACTGCCAAGACGGGGCAGAGGAAGGAGGGAAATCTAAATCCCATTCTTGGCTCAGGGCACACCGTTAGGAAGGGGGGAGGAGCTGCAGCAGGGCTGCGCCACCACCTGCACCCAGGTCACTCAACCCAGGGGCGCCTCCCACCATGCCAGACCCCTGGCCGCTGGCACTGGCAGCAACTGGTGGGCTGGGTGCATGCCAGGCCCAGGGGGACACCAGCGCTGCTCCCCATGTCCCTTCCCATCAACAGCCACAGTCATAAAGGCCAGGCCATCCGTGGTGGTGTTCCTGGGAATCTAGAGAACCTTCAAGAGAGGAAGCCCCGGGATGTGGCGGGAGGAGGAAACGGGTCTAGGGGCAATGCCAAGTTTCCCGGAGGAAATGAGTAACCCGTCGCCAGGCACTGACACACCGCCTGCGAGGAAGTGCATCGTCTGGGGACCGCCGGGCCCTTACGTAAGGAGCACCCCTCGCGCTCTGGACCTGGCCGTATTTGGGGATTGGCAAAAACATCTGATGCGCACCTCCAGCCAGGGTAAACACTGGCTTTATTAGGGTGGTGCGGAGCGCGGACTACTGGAGTCTGGCTTGGCTGCGCTCCAGGCATGAAATGGACCCGGAGTCTAGGGGGTGCAATTTGGGTTGTTCACTCTCTCCCTCTGCCCCCCATATACAAGTGGTCCCGAGGCTTGGGGTGCATGGGGGCCAGCACCTCCTGGCTGCATGATCTGGGTGAGCTGTTCAACTGCTCTGGGGCTTGGCTGCCTTAACTCAAGCTGCTTGGAAATACTTGCACCTGAATCTCGACAGCTGAGGCAGGCCAGGGACTGTACCCCCATAGGCTCAAGGTGACATCTCTGTGACACGCCACACACGTATGTAAGCCTGTGCATGTGCACATTCTGAAAAGCGAGGAGAGAGAAGGGTTAAGTTCCCAGACTTAAGTACATTTAAAAGTCAGAATTCTCCACTACAGGGATTTCCCCCCTATTGGTTTGTTAATCGAAGAATTATTACTATTGGTGCTAGAGTGCCTTTTTTAATGAGATGCAGATACAACATTGCACCACTTCCAGGTGAACCGTGCAATGATGCCAGACCTGGAAATAGTGCCAGGTGGTCACCACGATGTCCAGTCACCACCGCCCAGCGCGGGGCCATCACTGAGAGTGAGGAACGTCTCGTTCTCACACCCATTCAAGCTTCACCAGCCATGCACAGTCAAGCATTCCGGGCGGTCATCACACCTTCGCCAAATCCCTCAATCTGGAAGGTTTCTCCATCTTTCTTCAACTCTCAAGAGTGAGCTGGACTCTTGGGAAGATTACAGGGCACTGTTTTGCATAGCCTGTCCCTCCATTTCGGCTGACCTGATATTTCTCGTGCTTAGATCCATATTATGCTTTTTTTTTTTTTTTTTTTTTTTGCATAACTGCAAAGCAAGAGCTGGTTGGAAGTTTGTGTGGAAGGAAGTAAATCAGCTACATCAACTGTGGTGATAACCTTCACCCAAACGCTTCTCCCTGGGGGAGGGCAAGGGAGGGTCGTGTTGAGGACTCAAGGAAGGAATGAGGAACCTGC